AATGGAACGATAATAGACATGAAATAGAATAAAGAAAAAAGGCAAATTTGTTCATGAGATCCATGCCACCCATGGAAAATTACATCGAGAAACAATCAAAGAAGCAACAAAATGGTAATCAACAAAGGAAGTGTGCGAAACAGGTAAAGAAAAGACGTTAGAAGGAGGTAGGGAGGCATAGATAGAAAAGGGAGAAGAACCCACCAGAGAAGAAGGAGAGGAGATCCTGAAGAATGGAGGCAGAAGATGGTATAGAACGGGGAAATGAAATGATCGTAGAAAAGGAAAAAGAAGTCAGAGGGTCAGCGCGTTGGGGGAAACCCCACATGAAAAAAGGGGTGGGAAATTGAGTAGAAAGGAAGAGGGGGGAAAGCTTGAAAGGGTAGAAAGAGAAATAGGGGAAGAGGAAGGGAGGGGGGCGGGGAGCGTTTGGAGGAAGAAAAGAGGAGGAGTTGAAGAAAAGGCGGAGAAAAGCGTGCATCCATCCATACAAACCTACTAATATAGTTTGGAAGGTGGGGGGGAAGAAGAGAGTCCAAACATTTGCGTCGAATTTTCAACAAGAAACGGACAGGGGAATATATGAGACACCCAATGATCTTGATCTGGGGGGAGATGCGTTTGTAAGGGAAGGGTGGGGGGTTGGTTCTCTGGGTACGCCAATTACACGCCCACAGCTATATCAATTTTGAATACCTATTCATTGCCCGTCTCTCTCCTCGAATTCTAAACTTCTATCCCCCCCCTACCAATGCTTTTCATTCTCTCTACTTATCATTACTCTCCCATCCAATGCATCAAAATCCTACGATCTTATACCTACCTAAACACTGTATCAACATACACCATCTAAATAACATCAATTGCTTCCTCTATTTTTTGCACCAACTCTTTGTTGCCTCTTACGCCTCGTAGTCTCGTATGGGTCACATTAGATAATCAGTGATATGTGGTATGAGTGCCTGTCTATCACATACAATCTTAAATCACATACTTTTCGTTAAATAACTCTTTTCTCAATTGAAATTAAATCAAGCAACATCATGACTTAATTCTGCTAGAGAACGTCAATGAAATAAGTAACGTAAGTACTCTTCAAACATACCATTAAACATATCGAAATAATTTTGTTTTAAAAGTTATGAATGGAATGAAAAATCATATTTAATTTTTTCTTCGGATATAATATGACATATTCTTATAGTTCAAACGTGAGAGATTCAAACTTCTACTTTCGTGTGTCGAATCATTATGTCAACTCTTATAATTTAAACCTTCACCCAGAAAAAGTAGAGTTATTCTTTCTTTCTTTTTATTAATTTTTATCTAATTATTCTACTTTACTTATATTTTAAATAACATTGGCATCTTGGTTGATAGTGACGGTGATGGAAGATTAGTCGTAACCGATGAATAGCAGTTGGTTGCTATTGTTCCATTTCATATTTAAATATTCATAATGTTCAAATATGGTACCCTTCTAAATGCATTAAATTACTTACGTAATTCATATGCCTGTCTTTCTCAAAATTACCAAACAAGCCTAGATAATGGGCAATGGACGTTACCTTGGGATTTTAAATAATTTTGTCAAAAATAAACTTTTTTTTTTTTTTTTTTTTTTTTAATCCTGTTGAAGAAACGTCTATTTTTTACTATTCATATCTTGACTTTTGTATGTAATTTTTTTGAAAATTATGCAAAGGTAACGTCAACCAAATAATTATTTGTACGCTAATTAAATTGATTCAATCAAATTTTATTAATTTTATCAACTCGATAAGGTTCGAGAAAGGGAGAATCGATGAAAAGTCTTTTTTTTTTCTTCTAACATAGACAATATATTACGAAATAAGATGGATCGAGATTTATTTTTCGTAAAAAAAAAGAACTCAGTAGCATTTAATAATTTTGAAAATGAAAGCTATTTTATTTGATGGGGTGTGACAAAAACAATAATATGGTTGCCAGTTCTAATTAATTAATTTTTATTTTATTTTTTGACGCTGAAAACTATAGTTGACATTTGGATTATTATTTTAATTGTTTGGTATTCTGTATTTGCACGTTGTCGACAGAGTGACTCAATTTTCTACTTTATTATTAATTTTTTTTTAATAAAATTGCCCTTTTGCCATTTCTCCATTTCTCCATTTTAATTTCAAAACATGCTCATGAGCTATAAATAATATTTGTGAAGTATAATCCCCAATACTTGTTTTTAAATTAAAGTTATATAAAGGTTGATTTTTTAAAAAATGGATTTTAGATTTATAATCTAAACTTTGTAATAATTATAACAGCACGGTCAATTAAAATTCTCTTAAATTTTTGCTGAAACGTTAACACTCAATTAATAGAATTCTTCAATTATATTTATTGTTCGAAAAGGTGATGTAGTCCATATGGTAGAAATAAATTTTCTATGTATTCGGTTATAACAACTCTTGAATCTCGAGCCACATGACATGTCAACGCAATTCCAACAATAAATTTTTCCGATGAAACTAATCGATTCATTTTTTTTTTCAATGAGTTAGGGAGGGTAAAGACTTAGGTGGAATAAGGAAGGTGAAATTTTTATTTTGAAAAATTAAAATGGGAAATTTTTTAGTTTAAATTATTTAAATAATTTATTTATTTCCCTCACTTTATTTCAATTGAAAGCAAGAACATGCTCCCAATTTTCTTAATTTGCCTGATTTTCATGGCCACATGTCGCTTTTAGACTACAACTCTTAAACAATATTTAAAATATAGAGTTATTTTTAATGGGCTTTATGAGTTGGTTTTAATTATACCTAAGGAAAGATTCCTATGTCTTTACTTAAATTTTACTCCACCCACTATATCTTTTTTTATTTATTATTATTATTATGTTTAGAGCACTTTTTAAAATCTTATATTTATTATTTTGTTAAATAATTTATATATTAATTAATGTTAAAGAGTAAAATTTATATATATATATATTTTAGGAAGATTTGTTGAGAAAGGTAATGTTATGGTAAATTTGGATTGGTCCAAATACTAAAACACACAAGAATCTAAGCTTTTACTGGTTGGGATGAGTTCTACCATGTTTTTTTTTTAATAATTAAAAAAAAAAGGTAGGATATTTAGATAAGGTTTAGTCTCTTTATGCAAGTTGACTTTAGAAACTTGATTTTTTTTTCATAAATACTATCAAACAAAAATAAGTTAGGCAATTTATTTTGAATTGAACTAGTAATTCTACTATATTAATCAAAATAAAGAAAATATAAAGTTTTAAAATTATTAATTAAACACAATTATGATTAATTGTGGTCATGAGTTTGCATGCACAAGAAAAGTCAAATAAAATAAACAAGAGAGATTATAAAAATGAATTATATTGCTACAAATTTATAAACTATGCTAATTTTAAATCAAATCATGGTGTGGAACACTTGTATTTTTATAATATTAAAATAATAATAATAATAATAATAATAATAATTTGTATCGAATAATTAAAGAGATAAGAGCAGCCCTTAGGTGGGTGGGGTTAATGGTCATTTTCTTTGAAATTTTGGTGACTAAAACCGCCGTCTGCTTATTTTTAGTCCAATTATTTGTAAATAATGTTGATTTTAATCTTATTTTAATTCTTTAGGATTATTTTTATTTTATTTATTTTGATTTAATAATTATATCGGGTATGGTTATATAAAAAAAAAGAGGTTGGTATGGAATATAATGCATACAATTTCTTAGTTGACCTTTACAATAATTTTTTTGTTGTTAAATAATAGGGGAAAGTTGGATATTTTAATTTATAATATGTATGTTTCAACCAATTAAACTATAATTATGGTGTAAAAATATATGTTATAGATTATTATGGGCACATATTAATTATTCAACTAACTAAACTAAGCCAGTAATTCTCATTAATGAAAGATTCCTAATTACTATTTAAGTCGATGACAATTATAAGTATTTAATTAGATATATTAAGTGTCGTTAATAAATAAAAAAATTAATTATGAACTAGTCTTAAACGTCAAACTAAAGATTAATTAAGGCTGGTAATTGTTGAGTACGTATTCCACACATATCATTTACATCTACTTAATGATTATGGATTATTGAAAAATGATGAAAGTAGAGCTGTAAAAGGAAAAAAGAAAAAAAAATGAAAATTGGGGAATTTTGTTGAAATTAATATTTGAAGGTGGTGGCTTTTGGTGTGGGGTGGTACATGGAGTCAAAGCTAAGGTGCTTAGAAGGGACACCATACTATATTACATCTTCAATAAGACAAATAATTAGGTCAGTTTCCCCAACTAACCACCTTCGTTTGTTTTTAAACATATATGCTTTCATGAAAATAAACAATGCGCTGTACAAAAAAGATATTAAAAATAAACTGGGATGGCCAACAATATTAGAGCCCAAGCTACATAGATTGACCCACTAGCTATGATGGGCCATATCAATTCAATTTGGGATAGTTTGACCCACAATCTGTAATGGGCCAAATTGTTTCAATTTGTGTTGGCCTCTCAGCTACATATTCATAGCCCAAAAAGTAGCAAAGATGAGAACTAGGTCTTGGGTTAGTTGGATTGAGGTCAACCTTTTAGGGCAACAGTAAAAATTACCAAATTTAAATGACGTTTTTTTTTACTCTATTTAATGTTTCAATTGAATCCAAATAAGAATCTACCTCAAATTTTGTTTGTTGATTATAATTTGATGGAAGATTATTCTTTTCTTTGATAAAGGTAAAGAAAGGAGAGGGGAAGGAACTTCGCTTGATCTCTTAATCTCATTTGACTCTCCTCTCCTCTCCTAAGTAAAGGTTCAGGTTTCACTGTGACCTCTCCTGTGTAAAGGTGTGTAAAGGTTTAGGTTTCACTGTGAAATGTGATCATGGTTACGTGGGCGTGAGTTTTGGTGGGAAGGGTTTGAAACCAAAATTTGCTTCAATAGTACAAAACAAACGGAGGCATTAAAGAAACTAACAATTGGTAGTCAACTACAGAACGGATGTGGAGTAGTTAATAAAAGAAGGTGCAAACCCAGAGAAGCAATATGACCGTTGCATTCTGCCCTCCCTGGCCTCGATATTACCCAACGGATGCTCAAACATAACACACAATTCAAATTTCAAAAATTCAAAACTAAAGGCATAAAGAGAAAGCTGCCATCTTTCTCCCCCAATCTTACTCCTTTCTCCCTCCTCCCCTATGTTTCTCGAACTTAGAGCTCCCAATTAGCCTATCCCACACGAACCTTTCTTCTCCGCCATAATAATAATAATAATAATAATCTCTGTCCCTTTGGCTCCACCTCCACTGTTCGAAGCATTTCATGTTTGTATTTCCGACAATGGAACTGGAGAAATTGTCATGAAGTTTCACTTGGCTGTTTCTCCAACGGAACCATTCTTGTCTCCGTCTTTGTTTCTTAAGGTTCATTCAGAATGAAGGAGGATAACCCATCAGAAAACAGAGGCAAACCATCTAGGTTTGCTGATCAAAATCAGTATACCAAAGGAGGCAGTGGAAATGGTTCCAAATTGAGGGCTGCTTCTTCCTGGGGTTCACACATTGTGAAAGGTTTCTCCACAGACAAGAAAACTAAGGCGCAGAGCAATCTTCAATCCAAGAAAGCGCCACTCACCAACTCGAATTTGGTAAATCAGAAGGAGAAGTCTGTTCCTTCTCATACTCGCATCAAGCGTTCGCTTATTGGGGATTTAACCTGTTCGCCAAATCCCGCTCAAGTTCATCCACAGTCGTATCAGACCCACCGCAGACAATCTTCTCGAGATTTGTTCGTAGAGCTCGATCAACTCAGAAGTTTGCTTAACGAATCCAAGCAGAGGGAATTCGAACTTCAGAACGAACTTGCAGAACTTCAGCGGAATACTAGAAATTTTGAACTCGAGAGGGAGCTTGAGGAAAAGAAAGCTGAACTAGAGGGTCTTACTCAGAAATTTAGTCTATTGGAAGAAGATAGAAGAGCCCTGTCCGAGCAATTAGTAGCTGCATCATCAATCTCTGAGAAGCCAGAAGAGCCGCAGACTGCACCTCTAAACGTGGAAGTGGAAGTTGTTGAGTTGAGACGCTTGAATAAGGAACTTCAACTCCAGAAGAGGAATCTTGCTTGCAGGCTTTCTTCTGTGGAATCTGAGCTCGCTTGTCTAGCAAAGAATTCTGAGGTAGGTAACATTGTGATGTTTGTGTTGGATGGACAGTTTTTTCTTTTAATGTTTACGAAACATGTAACATGTACCTGATGTTTTTTTTGTGCTTGTTATTACTACTAGAGCGAAGCTGTTGCAAAGATTAAAGCAGAGGCATCTTTGCTGAGACACACAAATGAAGATTTGTGCAAGCAAGTTGAAGGTCTGCAGATGAGCAGATTAAATGAGGTTGAGGAACTTGCATACCTTAGGTGGGTCAATTCCTGTTTGAGGAGTGAGCTTCGCAACTCGTGCCCCTCAGCAAATTCTGATAGCCCATCCAGCCCTCGGGCAATGGAGAGGAGTAGTGAACCTGTTGAATCACTATCGAGCCAAAAGGAACACATGGATTACAATAATGCAAAGAGAATAAACGCAATTAAGAAGTTGAAGAAATGGCCTATTACTGATGAGGACTTGTCTAACTTAGACTGCTCGGATAATAATAATAGTCTTTTAGGCAAAAATTGGGTTGATACAGAGGAAGAAAGAAGCCCCAGAAGAAGACACTCCATTAGTGGAGCCAAATGCTGGCCTGAAGAATTGGAGCCAAACAAGAGGAGGCAATCTGATGGCTTCATATGTGCAAAAGAGTTGGAAAAAGAAGCAGATACTCTTTCCTCTCAGAAATATGATTTGGGCGTTATTCAAAGGCCTCATATTTTGGAAAATAGCCATGAAACTAACAGGAATTTTGCCTCTTTAGATGTGGAGAAACGAGCCTTGCGCATACCGAATCCCCCTCCGAGGCCTTCCTGCTCCATTTCTAGTGAACCTAAAGAAGAAAACACAGGTCGAGTCCCACCACCTCTGCCGCCGCCTCCTCCACCCCCTCCTCTTCTTCCAAAGTTCGCTGCGAGGAGCTCCACGGGAATGGTACAACGAGCTCCACAAGTGGTTGAATTCTACCATTCACTTATGAAGAGAGATTCTAGAAAAGATTCTTCCAATGGAGCCATATGCAATGTTCCAGATGTTTCAAATGTCCGGAGCAGCATGATTGGGGAAATTGAGAATCGATCATCTCATTTGCTTGCTGTAAGTTCTCGGTCATATCATCTTCCTTTCTGATCGTAGTTCTCTTACTAGAAGACATAAATGATGTTTCATGCTTTTACAGATTAAGGCAGATATTGAGACCCAGGGAGAGTTTGTAAATTCACTGATAAGAGAGGTCAACAATGCAGTTTATCTGAAGATTGAAGATGTAGTGGCATTTGTGAAGTGGCTTGATGATGAACTTTGCTTTCTGGTATTCCTTCATTTCTCTTAAATTTAGTGCATCTGATTCAGACATAATAGGAAGAATTTGAACTTAAAAGCAGAAACAAGTAAAAGAATGCATGAATAAATGATTTTGTTGAAGAGTAGAGTATTTTGCTGATGATTAATATCCTCAAAGGTGGATGAAAGGGCAGTTCTGAAGCACTTCGATTGGCCAGAGAGAAAGGCCGACACATTGCGAGAAGCAGCGTTTGGGTACAGAGATCTAAAGAAATTGGAGTGTGAAATCTCAGCCTACAAAGATGATCCCCGATTGCCTTGTGAAATTGCTCTCAAGAAAATGGTTACTTTATCAGAGAAGTAAGGACCTAAAGCTCCATATATTGACTTGGTTTGTTTTCCTTGAAGTCGATTAGGCTAAACAATGTCTTTATGCAATCAGGATGGAGCGTAGTAGTTACAACCTTCTCCGGATGAGAGAATCTTTGATGCGAAATTGCAAAGAGTTCCAAATTCCCATAGATTGGATGCTCGACAATGGGATCATAAGCAAGGTTAAACTTCATAACATGTCATATGCCTTAGGAAGAGCACTTTTGAGCTCAATGTTGTAGATTAAGAGTTGGGTTCAAGAACACGCTGCCCTATTTTTGCTGGATAATTTCTAAATAACAACCGTAGTCCAAGTGTATCTGAACGAACCAAAATTGAACTGTATGTTGTAGATAAAGTTGGGTTCGGTGAAGTTGGCTAAGATGTACATGAAGAGAGTAGCCATGGAGCTTCAGTCAAAGAGTTCATCAGAGAAAGATCCCGCAATGGATTACATGCTTCTTCAAGGAGTGAGATATGCGTTTAGAATTCATCAGGTAAGCATTCGTTCTCACCGCATTTTTCTTCAGGAACACGGACATATGGTCTTGCTGATTTTCCTTTCCCCGGGTGCAGTTTGCAGGAGGCTTCGATGCAGAAACAATGCATGCATTTGAGGATCTGCGGAACTTGGCAAACCTTCTCAACAAGAAGTGAAAGTTACAGGACAGGGCATTGAGTGACATCGGTTAATTTTGGTTTACTAACTCGGTAAGCAGCTAGCCAGCCACCATGCTCATGCTGGCAATACATTAATCAAGTCAAGAGGTCATGAGTCATGAGTGGTGTTCATTTTTCCTCTTATGGGACATTTTTGGATTTGGAACTTAGAGCTGCTGGTAAACTAGGGAGCTTTGGTCTTACCCAATCAGATAGATCTTCAATGAACTATATTTTTGTCCTCTGTCATCCTTCCTACTCTCTTCATGAACCAAAGTTCCTCCTCCAAAGCATCCAGCGGAAAGACAGGCGGCGGACTGCCAGAGGGAGGATGATAGTTTTAAAATATATTTATGTAAATTGTGTGTTTATCTGAGACCAAACAAACGTCTTTGTGGAAGTAGAGTTTGATAGTTAATGATTTTTGGGCATGTGGACGTGTGTTCAATAAGAAAACAGGTTTCTATTGTCTCTTAGAGAAATGTTTCAAAGGCTGTGATTGAATTTCTTGTCAATATTGAGAGAATTTGAAATCACAAAGCACAGGTGCATGGCTTTCAAATCACATCACCTTCAATTATTCTAAAAACAAAATGAATCCCTCCTACAGAACAAATTATAAAAAAACTCTGAAATATCTATCTGCACTTATTTTTGTATAAATCCAAAAACAGGTCCAGAAATCACCTCTCTCAGACAACCATTATGTGTTTTTGTTAAAAAGACGAACACTCTAAACAAAAAGATCAAAAAAACAAATCAACTTAAAAAGAGGAAAAGAAAAGAAGCGAATTGAGGGATCCAATAAATGGTGAGAAGGAGGTGGATTTGGATGATTGATGAAATCTAAAGCAGTGGTGGAAAGGGAAATACGAAAGGACCGGAAGATTTGACATACAGAAAAGACCTAACATTGCCTGTATTTACCCCATCTTGGGCACCAAACTACAAAAGAGGCAGACAAACAACACTCTGCCAGCCCCATAAACAATTTTTTTTTAAAAAAAAAGTAAGCCTCCACTCCATCACCCTTTTCTGTCTTTTTTCTTCTACCTTGTTGCTTGATTTTCCATCTCTCCTCATTTTTGCTAACTCCTGGCTCTTGCTAACCCACCCCCACCTCTTACACCCAACATTTATTATTGAAAACTTCATTTATTGGTAGATTCTGATGTTGTTGCAGAAGAAAAGACCATTGTCTAGTACTATATAGTACCACTGTGTGTCAAGATGTTAAGTATCTGGGCCACATTCATAGCTTGTGTTCTAACTATGGCACTTTTCTCAAGAACTACGATTACCGCTTCTTCCTCACATTACAGAACACACCTTGTATTACTATATATATATATATATAGAAAATGTAAGAATATGACTGGAATTCACATCATTTGATAGAAAAATTAGGGTGTGGGGGAAATTGTATTGGTTGGGTAATTAATTGATTTGGAAATACGCAATGAACAGTAAAGTGAGTAAGAAATTGAAGTGATGTGACCTGTAGTTGGGGATTTACGCGAAATTTTGGAGCCATTCCCGTCCCATCGAACTGCCACGGAAAGCTTAGTAGTCACATCCACCACGATCCCACGGCAGATGAAAACTTTCCATCCCACCGGCGAAAAATGGTGCTCCTAAATTTCCCAATCTCCCCTTCCAAATTTCCATCTCCAACTCGTCTTCTTCTGCTTATCTTTTTCGGGAATTCCTCTTAGAATATCTCTCCTCTTTCCAGTCCCCAACAGCATGATACATCATCCAAAAAAATAAAAGCCTAACCAACTCAACTCTCCACTAACTCTTTTTCCAAAATACTCAATTATTAGATTCTAATATTTTAACTATTAATTATATAGGTTTTAAAAATGTTTTAATTATTTTTTAGAATATTGAGATGGAATAAGCAGTGAAAATATAATAGGATGTTCCACCCACACTATATTTTAAAATGGAAATTTAAATATTAGAGTCATTTTAAGTATGTCAAAAAAATAGTTATATGAATCGATGCAATATTTTATTTTATTCATTTATTTGAAATTGGGAGGATTTGATGCAAAATTTAAAAGAAAAAAGTAAAAGTAAGATAAGGCATTAGAAAGTGAGAGGTGTAAATGCAAGAAGTAAAAGTAAGAAAAAGAGATGTGATTTGAGAGAGATTAGTATAGAATCTGAGTGAGTGCTTTGAGAGAAAATAAATTAAGAAAAATAATAAAGTTTGTGGAATACTCAAGTTAGTAATGAGGTTCGGAAAGGATATTCAAATTGTCATCACTTGCTTGGTTTTGTTCCATAGGCCCTCCCCCTCTGTCGCTCACCATCTCTCCCCTCTTCCCCTTTATATATTCTTCCCTTCCGCTCCCTCTCTCCCCTCTTCCCCTTCATATATTCTTCCTCCCTTTCTTCTCTCTCTGCCCACACCCGCTTCTTCTCTAACTGCCTCCCTTCCTACCCTCTTTCACAATTTTCACTTCATATTAACTACACACTTCTATACCAATACCCGATCATGTTGGCTTTGGAGGCTCCCTCCGACAACCACCTCCAGTACCCTCTCTTGGTTCCATCTCCACACCCACCTGCACCCACCAGGTGCTTGCTTCTCATTGCTTTTCTGCAAACTATGCACCAATTTATTTATTTATTATTATTAATTCAAGTTCGCCTTTTAATTGTAACCAACACAGGTACGAGTCACAGAAGCGGCGAGACTGGAACACCTTCGGGCAGTACCTAAAGAACCACCGCCCTCCACTCACACTCTCGCGCTGCAGCGGAGCTCATATTCTGGAGTTCCTCCGCTACCTGGACCAGTTCGGAAAGACCAAGGTCCACACCTCTTGCTGCCCCTTCTTCGGCCACCCACACCCACCTGTGCCCTGCCCCTGCCCACTTCGGCAGGCCTGGGGCAGCCTCGACGCACTCATCGGCCGCCTCCGCGCTGCCTTTGAGGAGAACGGTGGCCACCCGGAGACCAACCCCTTCGGCAGCCGAGCCGTCAGGCTCTACTTAAGGGAAGTTAGAGACTCACAGGCTAAAGCCAGAGGAATCGCTTACGAGAAGAAGAAGCGGAAGAAATCCGCCTTGCCTCCTCTGAAGAAGCACCAACGACATGCCCATGCCCGAGAGGATCAACCCATGCTCTTCTTGGATCACTCGGCTTCATGAATACAATTCCATCCAACCTATTAATCCCACATCAAATTAATTAATCGTACGTGTTTTTGTTGTAATTAAATTGGCGATTTCCGTATGCTTAGCTAGCTATGTAAAATCCCATTATCTTGTTTTTAATTACCCCATTGCTAATCTCGACTTTTTTTTTTCAAAAAGAAAAAATCGCAAACTATGATTATATATATTAAGACAATTTCCAAGTTCATGACTACAAATAAAAATTAGATTTTAAGAAGAAAAGTAGACATTAATTGTCTTATCCCTTTATAACGCATTAAAATAAGTGCTCGCTCATCATCTTCTTACATTTCTCAACTTCATCATTATTTTATGTATTCATCATTTTAACAAAACGTTTATTTTTAGATGCTATTTTCATATCTATTTTCGGATATTATATATATATATATATATATATATATATATATATATATATATAAACTTTACCTTTTATCTTCTACTTTTATAAATTTTTTCAAATAAAAAGTTTGTTAAAATGAAATGAACAAAAACGCCAAGATTTACTTTTTACTCAACAATTTTATGTTACAAGGATAACTAAAAACTTGTTTGATGAAAAAGTTACATAGTACATACATTCTAACAATTTTATAATTTAAAAAGTTGTTAATGAAAAATTAAAATAAATATTATAAGCTTTTAAACTAATATTTTAAAATTAGACGCTGAGTTTATAAATAATTATTTTTTAGAATAAGTCAAAACATTTGGAGAGCCGTTTGCAATCGGCGTGGCCGGTCGGGTCAGTTGGTCCGAAATGGAATGCGGTTTCAGAGGAGGGTCAATCAATCAGACACGTGGGCGGTGGAGATTGGAAGACCCAATCATCGACTGCCTTCACCGGAGTCGACGTGGCCGTCGCCGGCCTCGACCCTAAGTAAGTGAGACGTGTCAATACCTTTCTATTGTGTCGTCTACGCTAATCAACTCCAATGCCTGGTGGCGGTAGCCGAAAGCCGACTTCAGCAGACACCAGCTTCGATTTCAACGACACTGTGAGTTGCGCCAAGTTACAATTTTCATCAACCCCAAATTGGAATCGTTTTAGCTCGTAATTGCGCCACTCGATTTGTTATTATCAGTTACAGCAACGAATACAGAGATATAAAGACAATGCGTCTTTTCCATCCCACTCTAATCCTTTCTCTCCATTTGTGTTCCTTAACTAGATTGGTTGCTTAAAATAAGTTATTTTGTAATGTATTTTTCACTTCATAGGAACTGCTAATCAAATATCATTTATGATTTTGTTTAAGGAATATGAATTTCCTCTGCTTTTTAGAGACATCAAGCCTCATAATTTCCTCTGCTTCATCTGGAAATGGAGAACTGAGTTCTTAATGTCTTTGCAGGCCAGCCCAAAAGACACCTTCTAACAACTGGATGGATGATATAGCATGCATTTACGACTCCTTGCTGCTGCAGCCCATGCAGCTGCTACCAAGTGTTTCTCGTTAGGCGCATCCATGGTTTAAAGGTATACATACAATGGGATAAATTATATCAAATGGAAGCTATTATCATCCCAGAAATCCACGATGAGTTAGATGCTCGAAATTTTGACAAGTATGAAGAGATAAATCTTATCATTTTTTCCCTACAGTGCCCAATTATTATTTACTTTCCTATCTGTATCATGATCGAATTCATTTTTTTCTTGTTTATGGTTTCATCTTATGTTCCAAATGTCTTTCCTTCCTTCTTCAATGTCATGCTGGTGTAGTTTAGATCGTTGATTGAGAAGTATAAATAATTCAATTTCATATGTTATAAGACACCCTAGCTTGGAAGGGGTACATGAATGAACTCCCATATTGCACCTGTAATTTCTGGAAGTCCAACTTCTAATAGATGCTTCAATCTTTACTTGCAGCTGAGATGAGGAAAAAGCCTAACAAGACCAAGAGACCGTCTGTGACAACTCTACTTGGTACATTCATTTTCTGAATAAGCAAATTGTTGGGTTATTTCCGTAACATATTCCTACGCTCTTTCTTGGCCACACCAAATTCTCCCCAGCACCCTATTCAAACAAGTTTTTCTAACCATTTGCCGACTCATCTGGAAGTCTCGGAACGCCCCGACCCGTCACCTCGTTCTACAGAATCACCGAAACTGTCAAAGTCAACAGTCTCATTATATTACTCGTTAATCACACACTCATAGAACTGGTATCGAGTCGAACATAAAGAATTGTGGAGTGTAAAACTGTTTAAGATTTTATGGCAAAGAATTGATATTTCAAATGGTTCCATCTTTTGATATGTGATAGATAAGATAAAGATAAGGGTATGAGATCTAACATATCCCTTAAAGGAAGGAAAAAGCTTGACATTTCATCCCATGTCAAAGCAAAGTAAGATAATGGCTACTTGGCAGTTAAGGGTATGCTTAAAAGAAAAAGGTGCTATAGATTGTTAAGCAAAACAAGATTTGGTAACATTTTATACACCTACCAATCATAGTGAGGAGATGGATGTGATATGGTCAAAGTTAAAAAGACGGGGAAAGCTTTTACCTTTTTACTTTATCCTAAACAAATGGGCGACTTTTATTTATCAAAACGGTTATGTTTTTAATTTTATAATTTCATGCGGTAATAGTGTTTTATCGCCCACTTTCTTTTTCAGGTTCAATGATGATTTAACGCCCACTCATTGCAACCGATACAAATATCTCAATTATCTGAGGCACCTAAACCACTAATTTTGGCTATCATATATAAACCTATACTATGGAAATGATATCCTTCCCTGACTATGTATTTAGAGTATAACAATTATCCCCTTTGAAAGAACGAATAAAAGAACGAGAATTTGACGAAGAAAATGAAAAGGAAAGGAATTAGAGGATTGTCAACATCATGAAACACCACTTTGCATCAATCCCTATATCGTATCATGCAAAAAGCAAAGAATTGTATAAAGGGAGTGATGCCCAACAAAAGAGAAGCACAATTGAAACATCATATATATGTATGTTTTTTGTATATAATATTCATGCATATAATGCCATGAAAAGCGAGAGGGCAGACAAAACCAAGCCCAAGCATGTAAAAGGAAAAAAGTTAAAGCCAAAATTGAAGGAAGAGGTTAGCTTGAGGAAAATGCTTCATGGGTTGGCCTGGTCTAGTGCCACTTCCCTGCACCCTATTCATCTATGCCGCTCTTTTGTATATCCCACCGCACTCCACCGAGCCCTTCTTCCACACAACAAAACATGTTTTGGCTGTAAAGAGGCAACTTTGAGGTTTTGTTCATACCATCATATATGCCCATCTTCATCCGCTATTCATTTCAATTATATTAACTATTCTTTTGGGGTTGGGATTGGGGTTGACTAAACATGGTGAACAGTGTATGTTGAAATGGGGCCATGTGGGTGATTGCACATCAAGTTGAGAGTTGTGCCTAGAAACACAAGTTGGGTCATGCTATAGTAGCTAGCAAGGCCACAAAGTCCAAATTAATTTGATATATAATATGAATGGAATTGACAAAGAAAGGTTCTTGGCCAAACACCCTTTGATTTGGTTGCCTAATTTTAGCTTCATCTTGAGTTGATGAACTTGATTAGAAAGAGCTGTTTTTGGACCTCAAAAAGTGGTTAGGCCCCCTTTATGTATAAAAGGAACATTATGATTACCCTCCATTTTGGCTCTAGGCACACATGTCCCTAATTCCATTTATTGTGGGTCTAAAGACATCGTTGAAGCCTATGGGGTACAAGAAACATTTCAAGGGAGTTGTGCCACTGAACGACGGATAGCTTCTGCTTGTTGTAGATTGTTCTTCCTTAAGATGAGCATAACCCTTTTGAACACTCTTTTAAACTCAACAAAGATGATATATTTCGACCTTTTACGCTCATCATCTCACTATCTCACACGTACTAATCTTGAAATGAGCACAAAAAAGGGATCTAACTACATGCTTACGTTAAAAAAAGAACATCATCTCTTGCAATCTACGAAATATGATGTGAGACATGAATTACGCAAATCTCAACCCTCCTTTGCATAAGTTCTAAGCCATTGTATTGATTTTTACTTAATCTAACTAAAACCCAGAAATCTAAATGCCTATATCATCATCAAAGTTGGGGAAAATCCCCGCAACGCAGCTACACCAAGCAGTACATTGATCATTGATTTTGTTGTCGGATTGATTTCATTACAAACATAAATCTGATATTTTCACTCCATTCAATTTGGTCGGATTTGGACATGCCTGATGTTCTTGCATGCTTCATTGCTTCAACCAACCTCTCATGTCTTTAAATTATTAAAAAAAATTATACGATCCCTAGTTGGATATACGATAGAACAATCCTAATCCTATTTCAAATTTATATGTGATGGTTATTAGGGACCAATCATATTTCAAATTTCATAGGACAACCGAATTATAGCGGTTGTATTAAATAATTCTTCCTATGAAGAATACGAAATTTTCATTTCAAACACAGGTATGAAAGCTTATATCCAAATGGACTATCATACCATGTGAAGACATGTAGAGGGTTGTTGTCTCTAACCGTACTAGCGGAACAAAAAATAAAGTCACCGTTGTTTATACTCAAGGTGAATAATATCGTGAGAATTTATATTCAAAATAGATAAATCATACCAATATAAAGGTACGTGGAGGGTCGTTCTCCCTGACCGACCACAAACTTATCAATTAATTATTATATTTTACGTGTAGACTAGTAACCCATATGCAGACAAAATTCTTGGTCATTATTTAAATTATTAATGCAAATGGGCTGTGTTTGGATTAGGTTAATTGCTCTTAATTAATTTTTGAGATCTGTACTAAAATTAACAATGACCATACCAAAAATGAATTAAAATATAGATCTCAAGATTTAATTTTTTAAAATGAAAAACTAGAAACCAAAAGTTCTTTTGTTGTAGGAGGCAATTATTTCTTTAATTTATCCACCTATCACAAAATTCCATCTTCCCACGTAGGAAAATAATATTCCATAATATGTACTTGATCTTCAAGATATTTAATAATTTATAAATATGGTCGATGTGTATTTTAAAAGTAGTGGCCACGTGTCACAACACCCGCAATGCCATGTGGAAATTAAATAATTATAAACAAGTTGATGAGGTTGCAGGCATCTTATTTTATATAATTTATTTTAGAAAAATAAATTTATTCCAATCGTGATGCCAATAATTTGCGGTGAAAGTTGGCAATTTAAAGGCCATCTATTACGAAGGAATTCTTTAAATAATAATGAATGAGAGAACTCTATGGTTATGATTATTATATTCATGTAAAGGAGCTTGCCTCACATGCCAATATCATAAGGTTTTAAATGAGGAAGACACGTAAAAATAATAAAAAATAAATAAATAGAACCCTTCATAAAAATCTTACTTCTAGTTTGTTCGGTTCTTAAACGTTAACGATATTTCAAAGTAGGGAGATTCAAATCTCTAATTTCGTGGTCGAATACGACTTGAAAATCAACATCAAAGACAACTCGAAAATCAAAATAAGGCATGACATGTTTATGTTTACAAGGGACGTAAAATATAGGTACAAGGAAGATTCAAATCTTGAATCTCTTGATATCAAAACACCGTTCTCGTGACATGAAGGAGAATATTAAGAAACTAAAATGAAGGTTAAGATGAATGATACTTCAAATTCTAATTGATATCGTTAACGGCACGAACATGAGATGTTATATATAATTAATATGAATTTTTTATGGGAATTTTATTAGAGAAGAAGAAGAGAGAGCAATAGAAGGATGTTCCAAAAACAAAACCCTCTCATGATATCAGAGATTCTCAAAATGTCTCGTCAAAGAATACAGGTTGGTTGGTTGTGGTGTGTGATTCCGTAAATGATGATTGGCACTTTGAAAATTCCATCTCCCAAACCCCAAAGCCAACCAATTCCTTTCTCTTTCTCTCCACTTTTAGAGAGAGAAAGAGAGAAAATTGTGTCTTTTAATGCAAAAAAATCTCTTGTAATGTTCAATCAAAATTAGATCTTAAAAAGATTATTATTATATACTTCCGAATCATATCATAGCTATCCATTTCCTTTTATTTCTTTATTAATCTATTTTCTTTGTCCTTAATCCACCCGACATTATTGCTTATCAAACCCTAAACCTTAAACTAACTACATCGGTTTAAAAAGAAAGATGGGAAGTGGGGAACTACAGTGAAACAGTTCTAGTGCAAAGGATACAGTAGTTTGTTCAAATTTTCAAAAACCACGAGAACTATTTTTCTCCCATTTGTTCGAGCACACGAACGATCGAGTTGGTGGTAGAACGATTCTCGTAAAATAATTGTACGTTTTGGTTCTTTATTTTTCAACAAGGTTGAAATCGCATTCTTATAAGATTTATGCCTTGATCGCAAAAATACGTGTCAAACATCCGCCATTCAAATGGGTGCAAAAGGGTAAAACACAAAAAGGACATAAAACGAACCGTTTTATGAGAATTGTCCTTCTCAACACAGCTCACTTAGTTATCAAAAAGCACACTTTTTTTTTTCCTTGAAAGCTCTCAACTTTAATTAAGGGTTTGCGTGTAAGATGAGAGAGAGAGAGATTAAAAAAAGTTAATGATTGTTAACTAAAGATTATAGAGGTTTGACCGAGTGATTATATGAGTCCACACGCAGCTGAATTCCCTTTTGTAATTAAATAAGTCCATCTTGGTGATTAAAGTAAATCCATGAAAAGATATAATTAAATATGTTTTGTTCTGCCACCTTTATTTCTTAAGTTTAAATTGTTTCCTCCACTCCCCTCTATGTAGAATAGAAGAGCTATAATTTGTGTCAAAAGTCAGCGACTTTCTCTCTCTCTCTCTCTCTCGCTCTCTGGCTCTCTCTCCAAAAGCTTTCAAGTCTCAATTTTTGTTTGTTTTAGAGCCATAAAAATGGCCTTTAAAGCCTGTTTTGTGTGTGCCTTTCATGCTTCCCTAATAACCAAAATCAGCAGCAGCTCTTCTTAGCTTACTGCCTACACAAGAGAGGAAGAACAAAAATCAAACCCCAGAAACAAAAATTAAGGGTTTGGGCGTTGGGTGTTGATGATTTTGTTGTAGAGTGGGATTGAGCGAAGTATGTGTAGCTTGTTTGAGATGGAGAATTTGCAAGGTGACTTGACTGATATTGTGAGAGGATCAAGAACCAGTTTTGGTTGCAAAACAGAAGACCCCTTTTCATCCGACTGGATATTTTCATCCGAAATGCCCATCAATTTCTCTTCTTCTTCTTCTTCCTCTTCTTCGTCTTCTTCACAATTACAAGACCATGCTGCTGCAAGAGACCATCAACAATACAGCTTTGGGGATCCATTTTGCGCTGCTGCGCCCATGAGAGATCCTCTCTTTCAAGAGCTGGATATTTGTGGTAATAATTGCAATTTTTCTTCATCTTCTTCTTCAGTTAATAATAATAATAATCATAATAATAATCATAATAATAATCATAATAATAATCATAATAATCCAGGTTTTTTGAATGGTGGTGGCAATTTAGAGGACAAAAGTGGATGCGGTGGAAGTGTTTTTGTTGGTGAAGATGAGGCTATGAAAAGGCCTTCCAATATCTTCTCTCGCATGCTTCAGATCTCTCCACCGCCACCAACAATTCCAAACAAATTCCCAATTTCAGCATCTCCTTGTGTCTCCCCTTTGTTAATCCCTAATTGCAATTCCCCATTGATTCCTCCTATTAATTCTGACCTTCACCCCTCCGCCCTTCAGATCTCTTCTCCTACAAACCCACCTGGAATCAAGCGAAGGTAATTTACTCTTTAACCATTTCAGCTATTAAAACTACATTTTCATGAGAATGGGACCTAACAAAAATAGGGTTTAGCTTTAAATTTATCCAAAAAAAGGGTTTTCTTTATTAGATTGGTTGCAGAGTGTGGAGGGTTGAGAATAAGTTGTGTGTACATATATATAATGTTTTGATCGGAAATTTAGAAGGGTTGTTGTAATGAAGGGTGAGAATGCTACTATAGCCTTGGCTTTCATTGTATAGTTGCTTTCAGAGGGCAATTTATTTTATTTTTATTTTGGATGCTCCCAAAACCCACCTGCGAACTGTTGTTTGTGTGAATTTTGGTCCTCTTTTGTGTATATCAGTTGCTTCTCCCCCTCTCCCCCCTCCCCTTGCACAAATCACAATCCCCCAAACAAAAGCAAAATTGATGATGATGAGGTTTTGAGGCGTTGTTTGTTGTGTCTTTAATTTTGTTTAGGAAGAGCCAAGCAAGGAAGGTGGTTTGTGTTCCTGCTCCAGTGGCTGCCACTAGCCGACCTAATGGGGAAGTTATTCCTTCTGATCTGTGGGCTTGGAGGAAATATGGTCAGAAACCAATCAAAGGTTCTCCATATCCTAGGTATCTCCTTTCTTTTAATTTATGTTACATATTATGTCTCACTTCTCTTCATCAATTCCATCTCTAAACTTAGCAATTTCTCAATTTTACCCTACTTTTCAGTTTTAACCTTGTTTTTCCCCCCTTTCCCCTCTTAATTTATGTTGAATGTTAGTTACCTTTGTTTTCTTGGGAATCACATTCGTTTACTTGGCTCTGTTCCAAGGATCCGAAAGGAGTCGTGCTAATGCTTAAGATCGGTCGATTCATTTGGTTCGAGTTTTAACAAATTAGTACAACTCAATTAAGAGGTGATTTAAGATAGTATGATAGTGTTGTCATAATTTTGAACGATTCAGGGGGTATTATAGATGCAGCAGCTCAAAGGGTTGTTCAGCCAGAAAACAAGTGGAAAGAAGTAGAACGGATCCCAACATGTTGGTGATTACATACACATCTGAGCACAACCATCCATGGCCAACGCAAAGAAATGCTCTAGCAGGCTCTTCAAGGTCCCAACAATCAAAAAACAACACGCCCAATTCCTCAACACTTTCCTCCGCATCTCTCCCTCAAAAGCCAACAACAGCTCAAGAGGGACCACAAAACAACAACCAACATCCAAACAACAATGACAATAATGGAGCAAGATCCTCGGCAACCTCCAATCATGTCAAACAAGAGCCTCCCGAGGAGATTCAGAAACCCTTTGCAACAGAAGCTGAAGGGTTTCCATATAGGGTGGCAATGGCAATGGCAATGCCTATCCACGACAATCAAAGTGATGACTTTTTTGCAGATTTGGAGGAATTACAGACCGACCCTTCACATCTCTTGTTCACTCAACCCCAAAAATTACACCAAACCCAAGAATCAGGCGGCTTGGACGACGTCGTTGCATTCAATAATCTCTTCGATTGGGCAGCTGAAGACAACAGCCATTCATTTCAGGAACCGCCAACTGGTAGCAAGAGAGGTTTTTATTAAACAAACCAACCCACAAGGAAGATCATTAAATCAACTCCCTCTCCGCCAAATATTCATCAACATTTTCTTTTTTTTTCCTCCTCCAGTAAGTTATATGGGTGCACAAAATCTTCAAAAAAAAAAAAAACTTTATACCAGTACACACGTGATTTAATCATCATCGTTGGATATTGGATTTGAAGAATAAAATTTAAAACTAGGACCGATGGATCCACCAAAACCCTTTTCGAAATTTTTTGTCTTTGTTTGTTTTTACCCTAACATTCAACAGAGTGATGCTTAAATTAGGTGTACAGGGTATTTATTACAAGGAAAGGTGATTTGTTTTGTTTGTTAATTAAGCTTAGAGGGGGGAAAAAACGAGTCCCCACAGGGAGTTTTTGGAATATTGGTGTGAGATGGGACAGAAAGGTTGAGGAACAGAAGGTCTGAACAGTGCGAACAAGTACATGAATCGGGGACATGATTGGAAAGCTCAGTGAGGGAATTGGTATAATGATGGGACTGCCCCTTAACATCTTTCTTTTAAAGTGGGATAAATTATTCAATCCCCCGTATCATCATGTGGCCCAACCCTTGTTTTCCATGCTTAAATTTTAACCCCCCCTTTTTTTTCTTCTTTCTTTTACTAAAGATTGAATTTTCTTATCAGTCTTATCACATGGATGTGGAAAAGAGTGTTAAAGAAAGGAAGCATGCTTTGAGTTTTTTCTTTTCTTTTTTCCTCCTTCTTCAGTTCATTTCTTTTGTATTTGTATGAGTTGTTCGTATGTACAAATATATTATGATTTGGCGTAGTTTATAAGCTTAATACAAATATCTTTGCAATCTTCTCAGTTAGGGTATGCGTCATCTTGCATGCGGAAGAAAATCACATAATTTTGAGCAAGATCACCTCTCCACGTTAGACAGCCTATGCTAACATATAAATTAGAGTACATAAATACATCTACAAAACGATATTATATGATAAAAATGCAAACGTTGTTCCAGATGGAGATGTTCGTCCAGCGATGAAATCGAGATGAGGTGAGTATAGTTTTAAAGTAGACAATGTCATGTGTTTATAGAAATATGGAGAGTAGGTTTGTTCTAGAAGCAAAAATCGTTCATTCATGTACTCCGTACAATCCATGAAACCATAGACACAAACAATGTAATATTCTAAATCCACCGCTAACAGATATTGTCCATTTTTACTAGTTACGTATCGTCCTCAGCCTCACGGTTTTAAAATGTGTCGAATAAAGAGAGAAGAAAGAGGTTTTCACACCTTTATAAAAGAATCTCGTTTCCCTCCCCAATCAATGTGGTATCTCACAAACAAGTTACCCCAAGAGCGTTTGAGGGTAGATTTAAGATAATTTTTTTTTAATAATGAATCTCAGGAGGGGTCTATTCAATGGAGATTTAGCAGCATGATATGATGACTAAAGAAGCATGCTTGGGTTGGCCTGCTTTAACTATATATGTAACTGTGGGTTCACAACTTTAGTCTCTCCCAGAGATTAAAAGTCACCATTTATATTTAACTGAATCATTAAGTTCTCCGAAGATGATTAAAAAAAAAAAAAAAAAACCCTAAATCCTAGCTTTATCTAAGGGAGAAACAAATGTGAAAAATGAAAGTTAGGGTTCTTAAGGTGGCCCTTGTGTTGGGTTTGGGATTCACTGTCAGATATCATTTTTGTTGGAAACATTTGCAACTGTGTGCTTATGATTCTTGGTCATTATATACACGAACTTTAGGTTATATATTGAGGAAGGGAATAGTGACACTTAGTTTAGTCAAATCCATCAAACTTAGTAAAAAAATTCACTCTCTTTCCATCAAAGTCACTTCAAAAGCTAAAGAAAAAAACAAATGATCCCAAAAAAAGATGAATATAGTGATATATTTTTTAAGTGGAATTTGTGTATTTTGGTTGGTTGATTGATGGGATTTAGAGGCATTATGGGTTTTGGATGAAAATGGGTTTGTGCAAGTAGGATGATGGGAGTGACTGTTCCCATGATTTGAAAAGATTGAAATGGAGTTTACTCATCACCAAACCATATATTTACATAAACTTTTATTCACCTAAATTTCTTAATAATCATCATTCACATACTAAAATGGTAGTAGATATTGTTTTCATGTCACAGTAGTTACGAAGATTTAATTTCTCATGTGTTTTCGGATCAACCGAATGAAAAAGTTGTTTACTGTGGTAAATTAACATAATAGATTTCTTGTCGATTCAAACCTAATTTAAGAGATAAGATATTTATTATATCGAAGAGTTCAACCTTATATGGAATTAAATATAGTTGAAGGAAGGTTTACTTTTGTAATAACGCTAATAATTAAATGTGTGCACATGAAACACGATTTGAGTGGGAGGTTATATTGAAATTGGTGAGAGAAGGAAGAAGTTACTTTGTCAAAGGCAAATGGATATATATAAAACAAAAATCATTTTCATATTATCTTTAATATTAAGGGGATTCAAGTGGGGGCCAACGCTTTAATGTGTTGCATCAATCTCCATTAATTATATAATCCAGGTTTGCTTTAATTAAATACTCTTGATTTTGATTTACCAACTAAATTAAACGCAGACACCAAAGTTTCCCCCATGTTGCAAAACATGATTAAAACACACTTTGATTCCACTTTCTTACCTGAAATATAAAGCACGGTATAGATGCTTAGTATATTTCTCGTGAAAAAAAAAAAAAAAAAACATTTCTATGGTAGTGAATGAGTGAAATGGGATCAACTTAAGTTGTGAAAATGAAGTTGTCAGAGAACAACACAAGTGTCGTGTTGTTACGTGAGTGAAGTGTTCCACCCCTAAATAGTGAGAGTTCAGTTGCAGAAAGTATCACTAGCTTATGCTCTAATTCAAGAGGAATTGAGCACATAGAATCTCGTGAAACTAAAGGGGCATGTTAACGATGGAGAAAAGTTCTCTTATAACTGCATTATAAACGAGGAACATGGAAGAATTATTAATTCATCACTATAGAGAGTCGAAATCGAACCTATAATATTTAAATCAATTGAATTATAATCGAGAGGATGTAAATGGAAGTGAGAACGGACTGAGTAGGGGAGGGGCCCATATGCCTAATTGATAAAGTTGACAAATAATTAGACGGGTCCTAGTTTAAGGTTTCTGTCGATTTACATCATTGGATCCGCCCAGCTTTTTATTATTCAATTGGGCCCTGCTTTCCATAATTTAATTGGGCCTAGCCTTTATAGTTAAATTCGGCCGGGCCATTATATTTAATTTGGGCCAAACTTTTATAACTTGAATTGGGCCCAGCCTTCAAAGTTCATATGGACCAGCCATTTAAAGTCAAATTGGGCCCAGCCTTCATAGTTCATATGGACCGAGCCATTTATAATTAAATTGGGCCAAGCCGTTTAATGTTAAATTGGGCCCACATTTATCATTCAATTGGCCCAAACCATTTAAAGCTGAATTACAACGAGCCTTTATAATTGAATTGGGCCCAGCCTTTCTAATTGCATTCGGCCTAGCATTTATAGTTAAATTGGGCCGAACCATTGTACTTGTATTGGACCCAGACGTTATAGTTGAATTGGGCCGAGCGTTATTTTGTTGAATTGGGCCGAGCGTTATTTTGTTGAATTGGGCCCAGCCTTTATAGTTCTTTTAGGCCGAGCCATTCATAATTGAATTGGGCATATTGAATTGGGACAAGACTTTATAGTTGAATTGGGCCGAGCCATTTATAGTTGAATTGGACCCAGCCTTTATAGTTGAATTGGGCCGAGCCACTTCTAGTTGAATCGGCCAAGCCTTTAGAGTTTATTTGGGCCGAACCATTATAGTTGTACTGGGCGGAGCCGTTACAGTTGTATTGACCCGAAACATTTATACATGAATTGTGCCCAACATAAATAGTTAAATTGGGCCGGGCGTTTTTTTGTTGAATTGGGCCCAGCCTTTACAGTTAAATTAGGCCGGGCCGTTTATAATTCCATGGGGCCGATAAAATTGAGCGACGCCTTTATTGTTGAACTGCGCCGAGCCATTTATAGTTCAATTGGGCCCAGATTTAAGTTGAATTGGGCCAAGCCATTTCTAATTGTAGTATTGGGCCTAGCATTGGAATTGAATTGGGCCGAACCATTATACTCGTATTGGACCCAGCCGTTATAGCTGCACTGGGCCAATCCATTTATAGTGGAGTTGGGCCTAGCATAAACGGTTGAATTCGGCCTGGCGTTTTTTTTTGTTGAATCGGCCCAGCCTTTATAGATCAATTGGGCCGAGCCATTTCAGTTGAATTCGGCCCAGACTTAAGAGTTCGATTGGGCCGAGCCATTATAGTATAGATGGGCCTGGCCTTTAGAGTTGAATTGGCCCAATTATTTAGTTTCATTGGACCAAGTCTTTATATTTGATTGGGCCGAACCATTATAGTCGTATTTGGCCCAGCCGTTATAGTTATACGGGGCCAAGCCATTTATAGTGAAATTGGGCCTCGCATTAATAGTTGAATTGGGCCCTGCGTTTTTTTGTTGAATTGGGCCGAACCATGATAGTCGTATTGGGCCCAGGCGATTTAGTTGTATGGGGCCGAGCCATTGATAGTGGAATTGGGGCTCGCATTATTAGTTGAATTGGGCCTTGTGTTTTTTTTGTCGAATTGGGCTGAACCACTATAGTCGTATTGGGCCCAGCCGTTATAGTTGTATGGGGCCGAGACATTTATAGTAGAATTGGGCCAAGCATTTTTAGTAAAATTGGGCCCAGAATTTATAGTTCAATAGGGCCGAGGCAGTGATGGTACAGTTGGGCCTGGCCGTTAGAGTCGAATTGGCCCAGTGATTTTGTTATATTGGGTGAAGCCTTTATATTTGATTGGGCCGAACCATTATTTTCGTATTGGGCCCAGCTGTTGTACTTGTCTGGGGTCCAGCGATTTATATTGGAATTGGGCCTAGCGTTAATAGTTGAATTGCGCCGTTCGTTTTTTGTTGATTTGGGCCCATCCTGTCTAGATCAATTGGGCCGTGCCATTTTTAGTTGAATTGGGTCCATACTTTTATAGTTTAATTAGGCCGATCTATTTATAGTATAACTGGGTCTGGCCTTTAGAGTCGAATCGGCCCAGAATTTAGTTATATTGGGCCAAGGCTTTATATTGAAATTCGGCCGAACGATTATAGTCGTATTGGGCCAAGTCGTTATAGTTGTATGGGGCC